CTTTTAACTTTTTTTCTTTGTTATGCGTGCATGGAGTTTTGTCTAAATATATCTGTAAACAGCTTTGAATAAAGGAAATTAAATGTGAAAATTAAAAAATAATGGAAAGAAAGACAACGAGTGCGGAATCTTGGATAAAAGGACACTACCCTTCCCTGTCTTTGCTCGCTGCCCGAAAAGAACATACAGAAACACACTTTCTCGTTTCACACTTATAGAAAGAGAAAGAAGTGGGAGACTAAAGAGAGAACATTAAGTTGTGAGTTAGAAGAAGAAGAAACATCGGAGAGATGATGGCTCCGAACAACGATAGATGCAAATGGAGTTCCATTTTCGTGTTTCTGCTAAGTCTCTCCTTCGCTGTCTCAGTCGCCGTCGCCACCGACAAGGCTCCTCTGGTAGAAGATGGTACGCTTTTCACTTCTCTTTTATTTCTTTCAATTTTTAATGAAGTTAAAGGTATTTGAGTGATGATTCTTTGTACATCGTCACTGGGTTTCTGAAGATTAACATTTTTAGTTAGTTTAGTAGATTCGATTTGTCATTTCTCAACCCATCTCTCTGTTCCGAAAACAGAGGATATTAACTAAAAGAGATTGCTTTCAGTGTATTAAGTAAAATGGAGCTATAAGGAACTAACAGATGTAGTATATATATATATATGGAGTTAGAGAGTTTATGCTTGAGGGTTTTACTGTTCCTGAGCTTTAAGTAAAAGTTTTTTGTACTGATTGAGATTAGAAATTCGAAATAGAACTTATGATGTCGAGTAAAAGCAGTAAACACGTTGCATTCTCTCTAGAAGAATCACCATTTTACAATTCTAGTTAAGCAAGTGATACTAATAATATATAGCTGTGTAGGTGCCTCATCTCCGGGGGAAAATGAAAATCTGTCAATATTCAATTCAATCCGTCTAATTAGAAAATAAACGAAAGTTTCTGGGTCTAGTTGTCAATTAATAATAAAGTAATCATTCACGCTTTCGGCGGCGGCAAACAAATTAGAAAGAAGCCCTTCCCGCTTACATTAAGCCTTTAACTTATAACTTACAAGTTTATATAACTTACCAGTTTATTCTGATTCACATCCACAAATAAATCTCTTGAACTCTTTTGGTTCTTGTGTGCGAGAGAGAGAAAGTGTTGATTTTAACTTTTAAGAAATGATTTATACTATTCAGTTTATTTACATGTCTTTAACTAGGTAAAATTGATAGATCAGTCTTAAGTTCTTGAATGCTACTACTAGATCTAGCTACTACTTCAAGTTGTGAAAATAAAAAAGGAACAGGAAAGAATGGCAAAATCAATAAGAATAGGGGAAGGCTTCCCGCCAAAGAAAAGGTGGTTTTTTGGGTTGTAGTGTTGAAACGACAAAGAGTCCTACACAAAACGACATCTAATTGACCCATGTCACGTAACACTTGTTTGAGTATTTTCAACACGCTTTCTCTTTTTCCACCGAAAGTTACATTTGTCTCTGCTTTTCACTATTAGAAATGGGAAAGCTGCAAGTTAAAATGGGACTTTGTGTAGAGTGTAGACATAAAAAATGTTCGTAATATAGTCAAAAAGAGTCTTGAAAATATGTAGACCCAAGTCGGACAGTGTGTGGTCCCATTAAGTCATAATACTTAGCGAGACGGTATGGGCCCTATGGTCGGACCCGTATAAAGACGTCTCGAGTCTCAGTGTCGTCTCCTTATTTTCACGTTCCTACCTATTATCATCTCTCAAGCAAATTAAAGTGTTATGTCGAATCAACTATCCATTCGAGAAAGACAAAAAATGTCTCTTTTTACACAGCTAGCTAACTTAAGAAAAAAACTCGAACGTGGTGTTTGGCATTTTGTGCAGATTTTGTCTATACCACTGATCAGATATTCCAATTTTACATTGAGTTAATTATGCATTTATATGTAATAAATTGTTATTGTAGGTTTGGTAATAAACGGCGACTTTGAAACGTCACCGTCAAGCGGCTTCCCTGACGACGGAATAGTTGATGGGCCTAGCGAGATCCCAAGCTGGAAATCCAACGGTACGGTGGAGCTGATCAACTCCGGTCAGAAACAAGGCGGGATGATTCTCATCGTCCCACAAGGCCGCCACGCCGTACGATTAGGCAACGACGCAGAGATCAGCCAAGAACTGACGGTGGAGAAAGGTTTTGTCTACTCTGTCACGTTCAGTGCCGCTCGCACGTGCGCCCAGCTCGAATCCATAAACGTGTCGGTGGCGTCTGTGAACGCAGGCGAGGGTGACACATTGGCGTCACGGGACGTAGATTTGCAGACTCTGTACAACGTTCAGGGGTGGGACCCATACGCGTGGGCGTTTGAGGCAGAAGAGGATCATGTTCGGTTGGTTTTCAAGAACCCTGGCATGGAGGATGACCCCACTTGTGGGCCCATTATTGATGATATTGCTATCAAGAAGCTCTTCACTCCTGATAAACCCAAAGGTAAACTCTCTAAATTCCCAAAATCAATCCTTAAATTCTCTAAATTTAATGTTTTGTCACGTAAGTTTCTAAATTGTACATTTTGTCCCTGATTTACCAAAGAAACCTTAACATTTCCCTTTTAATCCCGAATTTATTTTTTCTTTTTATTATGGATCCCTAAGTTGTGCGATTGATCATTTTCGCCCTGACTTAAACATTTACAGATAACGCTGTTATAAATGGAGATTTTGAAGAAGGTCCATGGCTGTTCAGGAACACGTCACTTGGTGTCTTACTTCCAACGAATCTCGACGAGGAAACTTCATCTCTTCCGGGTTGGACTGTTGAATCAAACCGGGCGGTCCGGTTCGTGGACTCGGACCACTTCTCGGTTCCAGGGGGCAAACGAGCCGTGGAGCTTCTCTCGGGCAAAGAAGGGATTATTTCCCAAATGGTCGAGACCAAAGCAGATAAGCCTTACTTACTGTCCTTCTCCCTCGGCCACGCAGGTGATAAATGCAAGGAACCATTGGCTATAATGGCATTCGCAGGAGATCAGGCGCAGAACTTTCATTACATGGCGCAAGCAAACTCCACTTTCGAAAAGGTCGGTTTGAATTTCACGGCCAAGGCTGATCGAACGAGAGTTGCGTTCTACAGCGTTTATTATAACACGAGGACCGATGATATGAGCTCTTTATGCGGACCTGTGATCGATGACGTCAGAGTTTGGTTCTCCGGGTCGAAGAGTCTCGGAGCTGGTTTTGGGTTTGGAGTTTCGGTTTTTCTTCTTCTCGTTATCGGTTTGGTTTAGTAACTCAGGATTTAAATTTTCCCGGTTTTCAGCCATGTTTATTGCAAAACCAAGAATTCTTCCAGGATTTTGTATGTTTCTTTATCCGGTTAAGCGTACTAGAAATTCGAAAGTATTCATCCTTTATGCAAAAGCAATGTTCTGCTGTAAAATAAGAAACTTCCAAGTTTAAAATTTTGAGTTCTTTTTGCATAAATATATTCTCTTTTTTATTTTGTCCCGAAATCATAAATATATTCATAACATGTGACCAACGTCAACTAAAAAACCGTACCGGAGATCACAAACATTTCGGTTTGGTTTGGTATAAAGAATAGGGTTTATATATTTGTCTTGTTATAGAACAACAATTATCTGAAAATATAAAATTTGGCTCTGCTTCTCTTTCCGCCGCCGACTTCGTCTTCGGTTCACAAAGACACTTCTTAACTGTATATTCCGTAATGTTCACGGCGATCTCATGAGCAGATCCTTATAGCCAATATATTAGGATCTCTCGTTCGTTTTCCCATTCTTAGCTTTCATGAACATTTAAGATTTCTGGATCTATGATTAGGGAACAGAGACTTAAAGATTAGATTTAAGGTTTTACTGTGTGTTTGTTTTATTCATTATGAAAGTATTTAGATGATGAAGATGATGAGATATAGCAGGTACTTAAGATCAGTCTGTGTATCCTTTGGAATGTTTCTTGGTGCAGCAGCTTTGTAACTCTGCTATGCCGAATCTTCCGGATACTCAGTCTGAGTGACTTCAAATGAGCTTCTTTCTGATTTAATCATCTTCTACTTCCTTTTGTTGCAATCTTTTTTTTGGTTCGCTTTTTTTTTTGTTTCTCGGCTTCTCTTTTGATATCTGCACCAGCAAGAGTTTTTTTTTCTAGACCAAACAAAAAGTAAAAGCTGTCTTCTTTGTATCATTGACTCTGTGGTTTTTTTTATAAACGAATCTTTTTATTGGAACTTCTTTTTAACACTCAGTGTTCGTTGGTAATTTTTTTGAGTAGAATTTGAAACCTTTATTTATTTATTGATGATTGGTTTGTTCAATATAGATTTGTATAGAGCGACATATTCTTTTCTTTTTGTTCAAAGAGCGACATATTCTATATCCATCAATTCAAATGCGGATTACTTTCTATTTCAAAAGAATCAAAGTTTTTTTGGGAGTTATTGTTGAAGTTATTGTTTATTTGGGGTCATCAAGAGGTTGAGTTCTTCTTCATGGTAGCTTAGAAGAAAAACCATAACAAAACGTGTGTTTTAAATGGATGAAGGTAAAAAATGGATGAAACTGGAGAGAGCTATATGTGAGCTTCTGGCTCCTATCCAAAGAGATTGTTGCGATTGACAAAATATGTCCGAACTTGAGTGTATACAAAACAAAAGGGTTTGTGTGGATAAGGATGAGAAAGTAAGATTGAGGAGCATACCCTGACATATGTCATGGAGATAACTGCGTTTGTTGAGCATCGAGACTTAAAATCAAGGGATGAGTTTGTGAATGATATAGAGTGTACATCAAAGAAAATATTCTAAGGTCACCTTTGCTAATATTACCACCGGCCTGCCACCGACTTTCAAAGTTTCAGTATTTTCAAAGCGACAAAAAAAAAAAAAAAACAAATACGTTTACGTGAAGTAAGCAACAAATACTGAAATACAGAACAGAAGTTCTCTTTCAATTAATTTGAGGCTATCCGGTTTAAGAATTGGTTTGTGAAGCCGGTTTAAGAATTGTTTTGTTAATCCTTTCCCTTATCTCGGTCTCTCTCCTCTTTTGAAACGAGTCTCGTCTCTCTTTCCTTCCATCGCTGATCTACCCCGCCGTTAACCATCGGTAAAAGCGGCGGAATAATTGGATATTCCTAAGGTTGATGGGATCTGGAATGATGGAGGAGGAGGCAGCAAAAGCTAGCGTGAATCAGCAACAACAACAACAATACTATTACGGAACGTTTCAAGGCGTTGCAAATTATCATCCTCCCGCTCTCCCACCGCAATTGCTACCGCTTCCGCAACAACCTATTGTCACGAGTCCCTTGATTCCTCCCCCTATACATGGTTATCAGAATCCCCAAGGTTCTCTTTCAATTTTTTCTTGTATGTAATAATTACTATATATGATCTTTTGTGTAATTGTTGTTTTGGTGATCTTTTTGTGTTTGAGATTGAAATAGGTCATGGTGGTGGTGGTGGTTTTGTCAATTATGCTCAAGGATACCCTGTTGTTCCTGGTATACTTTATATTCTTAACTTGTTTCTTTTATTTCTGAATTTCAGTGTTAACATTACACATTTTGCTATGTATGATTTACTTGTATTATGATCAGATAATGAGGGATAGTTTTGTTACTTTTTTGATATTGGTTATTGATGATGCTATACGGTATTGATTCTTGGTTTTGTTTTTTTTTAGAATATACAGTGGTTGAAGTTAGACCGGTGAGAGAGCACGACGTTCCTTGCTGTGGCTTTGGCATGGGCTGGTTCTTGTGAGTTCCTTCTTCATTTCTTTATTTCCTCTCGTTATCAGTTCATGTTTACAACTCTTGCCTAATTCGAAATTCATATCATCCATCCTTATTCATTATTTTTGTGCTAAAGATATAAAGAAACAATAAGTAGTGGAATCTCGGCTCATGGTTAGTAGATTTTAGAATATTATCAATATATCTTGTGATGACAAAGCAAAAAAATGCCAGTTTGTTGTGCAACTTTCCTTTGATTATATTAATTCATGGTCTCGTCTTACTTGGTTTCTCTGTATTTGAAGGGCGATGTTAGGTAGTTTGTTTGCACATCTCTATAACATAACCTTCTCATACCTTTTCTAGTTTTAAAACCTTGTCATTCTCTCATGCTTGTGACTTGAATTGTTAAGGTGTTTTGGGTTTGGTCCTAGGTTTATTATGGGCTTCTTGTTTGGTGGGATCCCTTGGTACCTCGGTGCTGTTATTATTCTTTTCACCTCTGTTGATCACCGCGAGAAGGCTGGTTACGTTGCATGTTCTATCGCTGTGAGTTTCTCTATCGCCTGTCTCTTTCATTATCTTCGCTGCAGATACACGACTTTATTTCTCATACATGTCAATTTGTTGTCTGATATCTTTTCCAGTCCGTTGTCTATTTGATTGCCGTTATGCTCGGGATGGCTGGGAATATTAACATGATCTGGTGATAGATACTACCTTATGAATCAAATTTCTTCACGTATATGCATCATCATAACTTAGTGATTCACAAAATAAATTGTTGTTATAATTTTGTGTTGTATCTATTTGTTTACAAGTTACATGTATGATGAATATGTTATTGCTGCCTTTCATGACATCTTCATGTAATATATTTTTGTCATCTTCTTTGTTTAGTTCCAATGAAGTTGGATGTGTTCCAGTCTTTTTGTCATTTGTAAGCTGAAGGAATTTGTAAACTTAAAAACAAATATTCAATGGAAAATAAAGTCTAATGAAATGCAAAAAAAATGATTAAGCTACAAGAAAAAAGTATTTTGTCATATATTTGTAGACAGGATTATTCATTCCAAGAAAATAGACCTCAACATGTAAAGTGGAGCAAATGATGTCTACACAGAGAGTCAGGTTCAACAGAGGGAGAGAGAGCATTAAGCAGTTTCACAACAGCAAGATCAAGTTCCCGTTGGTCAGGAAGGTCAGACCTCCCACAAGACTACCTACAAGGCTTCCAAGCTCAACTTGTTCATTTAAAAGCCCCTTGTAAGGATCAACATTTCATAGTTTTAAGGAATTCAATGTCACTCGCTGTTTTTGTGTGTGTTTATGTTGTTCTCGATAATAATTACTGAAATAAAAGCAGATCACCACAAGCATATACATAATATGTCTGCATTAAAAAAGATTTGAAGTTCATAACACATTAAAGCTCAGGAAAAACAAATCACTAGTCGTCCAACTGAAACATTTTTGCTAAACAAATGATCTGCTGATCTCTCTATTATTATTTATTAAAAACATAAAAATGTAAAATCTCAGTTCGACCATCAGCCATGTCGAGGAAATGACGACGACGCTGAAGCATCATATCTTCCACGGCTTCTTGCAACAGCAACCTCACAGAGTTCCTCGTAAAACTCCTCATACCTCCGCAACAACTGTTTCTCCTCTTCGTCGTCCTTTGGATCAACCTTCCACGACGCGTCACTCTTCACCCGCAACAACGGAGCATAAGCAGGCTCAGCCACAGACATCTTCAGCTTCTCTTCTTCCGCATCTGTTTCGTCCATCAGATTGTTGAGTTTGTTGCAGCACTCGTCCATCTTTACTTTCTTGTGAGCATCCACGATCATCGACGAGTAGCCCTCGCCGTTGATGAGACCTGAGTGATGGTTTCCGTGGAGAAACCGATGTGCAACGACATCGAAGGAAGGGCTGCCAAACGTGAACGGTTTTCCTGAGCAGGAGTAGATGAGAAATCCGACGTCGGCGCCGCAGAGAATGGAGACCTCACTAAGCTTATTGTATAATCCGTTTCTACGCTTGGAAAGTGTGACCATTCTGTTTTCGTTTTTCTTTATTTTTGTAATATCTATCTTTTGTTTTCCTTTTGTTTTTTTGCTTCCCATCTTTTTGACAAAGATTTTGATATTACACAAAATGGAAGACAGGAAATTTAGACTGTATTTTTCTTCTTCTTGTTTTGTTTTTGAGTGCAAAACTATGTTTTATAGGTAAGACAATGTGGTAGTAATTATTATATTGCATGGAACTTAGTCAATGATTCAGTTTTTGTTTTTGAAAATTTGATTTTTGTAAGGTAATCTTGTGAATGAGAGTTATGTCATCTATGATAGTCGTAGATGCAAATCCATTCTTCTTCTTTTTGACTACACTAGTCAACAAATCAATTCGTTATGGTACATAAAACTATGATGACATAACTTCACTCACAATGTTACATCAATTTAGTTTACAAGGAAATGTCATACTTGTTTTTTAAAAAGAGTTGAATCATTAACTAATTTTCATGCAATAATTAAAAACTATGATGATCTAATTTATAATTTGTACACAAAATTATTTTAACGTTGACTTAACTATTAATTCATTAAGAATAATGTTTAATTTACTACAATAAAAACTCAGCTAATGTATACAATATTCAAATTTACATTGAAGATTTGTTAGTAAAATTTAGTAAATATGGAAAACAAATCTTGTGGCTTACACAGCCGAGAAAAGCCTTTTTCCTAAAGATAACCAAGAGCTCTTGGTCTAGTGGTAATGAAACTCCAACTGGACGGAGTGCCCGCTATGGGTTCGAGTCGACTTGGCCACCTTTCCGCCTATAATCGTGTGTGTCCGGATGGAAGGTTTCGTGGGGATTAGTCTGGGTTTATCGTCTGAGATTCCCCACGGTTATAAAAAAAAAAAATGATGAACGCAAAGAAGCTCGTGAAGATGGCCAGGAAATGTCAACAGAGATCAAGTACTACAGTCAGCTCAACGTCTGTAGAAAAGGGTTGTTTTGTGGTTTACACAGCCGAGAAAGCACGCTTTGCTTTTCCAGTAAGTAACATGAGCACAACTCTGTTTTCCAAGAGATCTTGAAAACTCTAAATACGAGTTCAGCCTCCCGACTACTGAACCAATTACTTTGCCATTTGATTCAGTTTTCTTGAAGTATCTGATGAAACTGATCAGACAACGAATGGATGGGGATACATAAAGTGGTCTGTTAATGTCAATTTCTAGGACTAGAATATACTGTTTGTATTTTAGAGAAGTGTGTAGAAATTTTTTGCCTGTGTAAAGCTTCAGTTGTTTTAGATTAGCATATTATTTCAAAAACACAAACCATTTTTGTTGTATATCTTTTAAATTGTCTCATCAAAATCAACTTTCATTGTAAACAAGGGAAAATGAAACTTGCTTGGTCTATTCAAAACGTTTTGCCCTGAAACTCTGTGTCATAAGTTAGAGTTTTCAGTCAATTATCCTTAAGAATCTCGTACGAGTTCATGAACGGACAAGAACTAATACAGACACGACATGTTTGTATAATCTAAGCTTAACCTATCTAAAACAAATGTGATAGCAGGAATATTTGAGTCGCTGGCTAGAAAATCTAAGGACCTACATGCTCTTCTTATTTGATCCACTAGCACATTCCTATCTTTGTATCTATCTACTTCTGTGATCTTTAATGGTAACCACATTTTTGTTGTCCTTGATTTCGCCAGAAAGATTTGGTGTCCCCTTATTATTTTTTGTTACTCACATGTTGATATTTTTTTTTTGTTTTTTTGTATGAACTTGTTGAATACATCAGTGTAGCTCACGTGCAGCCCAGAGCATCTAAGGACATCACATACCTGTTATTGCTTCGAACTTCCTTGGCCTAAACGGCCATAGTCCCTCTAAGAAGCCACATGTTGATGTTATCTCCTTACATCTTTACTGTTTTATGTTAGTTATATGGGATATGTTAATTCTCAGGAAGAATAATTTGTGACGAGTCTGCAGATCTATATGGTTTAATATAGTGTTGCTTTCAAGACAAAAATATAATTATCACACAGAATATGAAAATTTTCTTCTTATTTCTTGTACTGCAGAAATCTAGACCATAACATTTAGAGTTGATTTCGATGGTTTAATCAAATAAAAACGAATTACATTTGAGTTAGATTAGCACATGAGACATACTGTGAAAACTCTGTCAGCCAGTAACTTATCCAAAGCGTTGGACCACAAAGAGGTATGAATCTCCATGCTTCCTTGTTCAGTTCCCGGGTAAACAAGGATTTTACCATGGCCAGCAATTCCCGGTCCAGCTCGAACCGCAATAGGTTTACCCCAACCGAAATCGTTTCCAAATACATTGAACCGTGGAGAGCTAGCAACAATAAGCGAATTATTCACCAACAAATGATTCGGTATTTTGGGGTTCTTCACCCAATCCTCGGCAAACCGTTTGAATTCTTCATTGGTTTGTGACCCAACAGCTTTGTTTAGTTGCAAAGCAGCCCAACCCAGTCCATTATTAAGCATTTCTCCGGCGGTTGTGGTGGCCGTCCCCAGTCTAGCCATGTTTCCAACTCTTTATAAAACGGAGGGTTTAGTCTCTGTCTCATATCCATTGTGTATCACTTCGTCTAGATTCAGATCACTGTTTCTGATTATTGATCGCCACATATGCGCCAACACCGCTTGAAACGAAGAGATTTTCAGATCCTCAACAACCTCGTCGTTGGCTTTCGCTTTGAGCTCAGAGATGTGTCTACTCGTGAACCGAAAGATCTTCTTATGTATATCGGGTAGACGAAGCAACACCCCTAACATGTGATCAGTGCCGGTCCGGATTAATACGGCTACTATAGCGAACTAAAAAAATATTGCCCCTAGCTAGATTTTTTTTACTATAATTATATTCAAAGTTTTCGAACATTCTACAGCTATGATGATAAGACATAAAACATAACAAGCCTACAACAAAAAGAAGAAAATATAAATTATAGAAATATAAAATACAACATATATGGTATAACAACATTAACTTAGTTTTGTATTTTTTTAAAAGTTTTAATGTATATCACCTTAAGGTAATTTCATATTTTTGAGTTTTTTTTTTAAAAATAGAAAACTTGCAAAAGATAAGAAAAATAGTTAAGAAGGAAAACTAAAATTCCATAGAAATTTAGAAGAAGAATGAAAATATACCTTTTTGTAGCAAGATTAACAAAAAGGTAAAAACATAACTGTCAATTGCTAAGAGAAAAAAATAACTAGTTTTGTTTGATTCCTTTGTTTATTTTATATCTATAATATCATTTACTATAATACATTTATAAAGAAAGAAAGTTGCTAAACGTAATCAATTTTTTTTTGTAGTAATCATTATAAAAAGTTTAGTTATTGTATACTTTTGTAACTTTATAATTTATATCATATAATTTAATACATATATAAAATAAACGTAAATTTATTAGAAGAGATCAAAATATTTATCATCAAATCTAGTTATTATTATTGTTATAAGCGAAAAGGAAACAAAACTAATTAGGCAGTTTTTATTTTGTTTAATTTATAACTTAATATCATTTATTACAATTTTATTATATAAATGTTTTTTTTCTCATATGAGAGTGTCATATCACTAATTCATCTCTTCCCAACATGACATGTGTCAAGGTTCTTGGTTAATTTTTTGACTTTTTGTTTGTTTGTTGGTTCGTCTTTGATTAAAAAATTTTATGGTATCATTCAAGGAATTCCATTTTTTCTACCTATTTACTGTAATTTTACTGTAATATGTTTCCTAAAAAATATTATATACAAATAAAATTATATAGGATAACTGGTAAGTTTCCTCACAAAATCTCTACATCTAACATTTATTATTTTTACTCAGATTTCTTAAAAGAATATCTCATATACTTTTGATTAACCAAAGCTAATGATGAACAAAATGAATCACAACTATAGATTAGATAAATAATTTGTATTGTGGCCTCGATAGCCTCCGTTGTACACATGAAGAAATCGAAACGATTCTTAAGATTCCTGACAGAAAGAGAGCCACTGCGAGTGGTCGACATAACCTGTCAATCAAATATAAAGAAATATATAAATGACTTTATAATCGTCTAATCAGATATTTTGTTAACTTTATTTAATATAGTTATTTAATATGAACATTTAAATTAAAATTATAAAGAAATAATAAAAATCAACAATAACTTGTTCTAGAATACATGAAATAATAAATCTTATAGTTCTTTTACTAGAAAATAGTAATTCTTAAAGTTACAAATAAAAAGTAACAAATGTTGATTTATAGCTCGATCTCTTTTATTAATAATCATTTATTTCTTTTGCAAACTTTAGTTTCTTCTTAGTATTTATTAGAAAAAATATTTAATAATGTATTTTCATTGAAACTATTTACTACCCCCTCCTTTTGTTTATTGTAAATAGTATTAGGAAATTATTTTTGTTTCAAAATATAGGTAACTTTCTCACATCTACGTAACTTATACATTTACTGGATATAATGTGACCAATCAAATAATTTATGTTTTTATAATTATTAAACTTTATTAATTAAATACTATGTTTTAAAAAAATAACAACTTTCTTAATAATATTTTTTTTATTTTATACTATTGTGAAATGGAAGAAGTAATCCAAAATGCATCTCGATATGATCTTATTATATAAAGTAGGCTTTTCTCTCATATGAGAGTGTCATGTCACTAATTCATCTCTTCTCAACCTGACATGTGTTTTTACTATATGACATTAATCTTCTGTTTCCATGTAAAATCTTGATTTTATATTTTATTTATTTATATATGATATTGTGTTTTTAAAATTGGAAGCATGATTCCAAGTGGAATCGTAGGCTTCCAACATGTTTTTTTTTTTTTTTTTGAATTGAATGTTAAATTTAATTCAAAAAAGAAAGACCTTGCTTACAAGAATAAATTGTTCTTCCTACTATGATCTCCTATACATAGTGAATAAGAAATCAAAAAGGAAAGCCATACTCAGAACTCGTTCTAACCCTCCAAAACTTCCAAATCTTCTCTTCTCAACAATGTCTAGCTCTCACTCCTACTAAACACCCAGCCCTCACTCCTACTGGTCCAAATAACTCCCAAAATAGTGTACCCAGCTCTCACTCCTACTAAGTACCCAGCTCTCACTCCTACTGGTACAAAAACTCAAACAGCCCAAACACTCAAAACCAGTCAAACTCAAAGTGTAAGAGAAGAATCAATCTCCACGACTGTAGCTAAACCATTTAGCCAAACCTCCATCATACGTTCGATCTCCTTTCCTCTGTATCACAGTGAACTTGTTTCTCATCTCCTTATCCACTCTCTTAATGATCACTCCAGGCGGTGTAGGATCTTCACCATGCCTTCGTCTATTTCTCTCCATCCATACAGCATGTATCACCGATTGAAACACATGCCTCACAATATAAAGACTGATTTTATCCCAGGTAGAATCATTTGATAACAACCTAATGAGTGTATCCCAATCTGCCGTGAAGAGATTACACATCACACCTTTGATGAGTATTCTCCAAATCTCCATGGAATAAACACACTCAAAGAAGAGGTGCTTCATTGTCTCAAGCGGATGGCCACAAAATCCACACGAAACCACAGCATTAGAATTCCAGTACCTCATTCTTTCACCTGTAGAAAGCTTTCCAAGAATCGCAGTCCACAAGATAAAGGAGTAACGAGGAGTCGAGTGTTTAAACCAAACAGCATTATGCCAACTACACTGCAGATACTTCTCACGAATAACAAGCCAAGTTCCCTTTGTTGAGAAGGTTCTCCTAAACTTCCCCTTTTCCGTTCTCCACAAAGAAACATCCTCCTCCTGAGTCCAGTTGGTTTTATAATGAGCAATCTCCATTTCCACTCTATTCAGAATTGGAACGCGGTGCAGTCTTCTGCGATGGTTTCTACAAGGTGCAACTTTCTCAGTAGCAAGAATACCCGAATACCCAAGTCAAAGTGACCTCTGCCCCCAAGAATATCATGAAGACATCCCAAAGAGGACCAGTTATCATGCCAAAAGGAAGCTTTCTCACCATTTCTAACCTCCACCTTATAAAAAGTCTTTGCAACATCACGGCACTTTAAAATCTTCCTCCACATCCATGTACCCGCCTGAGCATTTTCTTTTAACATCCAAAAGGATCCTTTACGGATGAGATAAGACTGAACCCAATTAACCCAAAGAGAGTGAGAAGAAAGAATCCGCCATATCAGTTTAATACAACACACCAGATTTACTTCCCTCAAAGGCCTAATTCCTAAGCCACCTTCTGATTTTGGTTTACAAACCTCCCTCCAAGCAATCTTAATCTTCCTGCCATTCAAACTAGGACCAGACCAAAGAAAGGCTGAGCATAACCTTTCAATCTCCACAATACAATTACTTGGAAGTCTAAAAGCCGCCATCCAGAAGTTAATAAGACTCATGATCACTGATTTCAACAGCTGCAAACGCCCAGCATAAGAAAGAAATTGGCCAGTCCAGGAACCCATTCTTTTCCTAATTTTCTCGATTAGGGGGAGGTAATCAACAATGGTCATACGCTTAGTTAACAAAGGGAGGCCAAGGTAACGAACCGGAAGCTTACCAGAGTCAAACTGAAAACTGTTCTGAACATCCTCTCTTTTCTGAATAGTACCACCAGCCATGAAAAGAACAGATTTCTCCATGCTAATCTTCAAACCACTCATTTTTATCAAGGTTATCAAAAACCTTCAGAATCCCCTCAATAGAATGCTGTGAGCCATCCGCAAACACAATTAAATCATCCGCAAAACA